CACCAAGTATCATGAAGAATAGTCACAAGTTAAATAGCAAGTGACATACCCAGTGTAGCCATGACTGCAGCAAAGATAATAATGCCTACTGGCTGCATTCTCAGTTTCCCAATAGGATATTTATAGATATTAACACTTTTCATTGATAAGTGAGTTAGCCATAATATACCACCAGCCATGAGATCAAGTAAGGAATCCAATGTTGATGCAGCAATGGCTATGGATCCACTTCTTACTGTAGCATAGATCTGCAGAAAACAAAGTGCACTATTTTGTCACCTTAATTCAGAGTTAACATGCACAATTCTCTGAGCGTCCACATACCAACTTATCCAATGTATACTGTAAACATTGTTGAGACTTTGTATGTTGAAACAACATTAACAATAAATTCAATAGTACCATAGACCATATTTTAATGTCAACAAAAGAGTTCTTGAAGTCTAATTAATATTTGTCCCGCCACGTAAAGCCAATCACCTTAAGAACCAGTAGTATTATATTTGCATAATTAGAAATCTTCATTGCTCTCTCATGTTGGGCTTGTTCCTCAAGATCTTCTTCATCAATGCAGTTAGATGCACTCACAATATCAACACATTCAAACGACTTTAGGGTTGCAAATTGTCTTTCATAATATTCTTTTTCTCCTGCAATTAGGCTATTCTTGAATCATTAAAGACGATATATGAAGGCACAAAGCAGCAGCCAATTTAAGGCAAAAACAAATGCACCCAAAAAAGAAAAAAGCTCACTAAGCAGAAGCTAAGATATTCACTAATTCATTTTTCCCATTAAAATAAGATAGGAAACTTGATATATGGCATTGGGAGGGTATATAATGGTAACAATAATATTCAACAATCAACAGAAAACTTGGGATGTCAGACAGGGCAAAGGTTACATGTCAGAGTGAATTGCACACACATTACTTGATCCAAGAGTTAGGGCAATCTGGATAAATATTTGTGCTTTGCACATGCTCCAAAAGCAAGTAATGTACTGTAATATTCTTGAACTGGGATGTGACAGTTTACAGCAATATTAGTAGAGTATGAAATTTGAGGAGCCTAGGGAGCAAATAGTTTCTGGTCAAAAGCCACAGAGAAGGGTAAGAAAAAATAGGAGCTAATGGAAGAAAAGTAGGCAATGCCTTCCTCCTTGGACAAGCCTTCATTTTGTATTCTGGATTTTCCTTCTTGGATAAACCTACATCAACTGCTCTGATAGAGGTTAATCCAAGGTCTGACCAAGCTGAAATTCAGGTGTGTGTTCTAGGCCCACTAACCTTCATTTTGTATATTGGAGATTGGATTTGGAGTTAGATTTCAACTTGTGAATAGGGCCTTTGTTTGATGCAATCTCTAGTACATATTTGAGTGAACTTGTTGAAGAATTACATTTGAGTAGTTAGGGATGTATGTCTCTCATTTTTTTTTTTAATGAAAGAAATTGCATTCAACTTGTCAATAGTGAAAAGCCTGATGGACTTTAAGGCTCTGATGGAGTCCTGGCACTGCCATTAGTATTGTTTAGAGTTTAGACAGGTTCAACAACATATGTATGAAATTGTTCCCAACAATCACTTCATCCAGCAATCACTTCATTCATATTTTCTCTTTATGAATAATAATCACAAATACTCCGTAACTACCAAGTAATAGTCATCCCTAAAATTTCCTAGATAATGCATCAGAAGGTAATAATCACAGGACCTTAAAGGATAAACGAATAACAAAACCCCATTCCACAAGAAATTTTCCGCATTCTTTCACAGTAGTAAACCTTCAAACATCACAATACATATATGAATATAGATAGATACAGAGATAGATAGAGAAAGAGGACCTTTCGTTAAAGTAGAGGATTTGGAGAGGTCAACCGGAGAAAAAGACTCAGGATCAATGTAGGAGCGAACCTTGTCCGGTAGCCGAGCCAGGAAATCACTGCGGAGCAACGTAACCGAGTTCCGTCTGGAAATCAGCTGGCTACGCCGGCCGCTGCCGCCTCCTCCGCCGGACTTCCCGCCGTCCAGCAGCGGCGATTTGACGTCCATGTCAGCCTCACTGCTCGCCATTCTCACCGTTCCGACTCAATTCAATCTCATCCGCCGAACCACAAAATTATATAGAAACGAAGCAGCTCTTATCCCATAATCATTTTTTTTTATCACATAATCATTTTAAATTGATAAATTAGATGATTATTCAATATTGATTCAAGTAAATTTATATTCCATAATCTGAATTTTCGCGGTAGTATTTGTAATTCTGTTTGCTATTGACTTTTGGTCCATGGTATTTTTGGTCCAAACTCTAATGTATTGGCCACCATATGTCCACCACCTCTCACACGTTAAACAATTAATATAAATATCTTATTAATTAGCTTTTTGTAACAACTTATTGCTCTAAAATGTTAAAATTTTACAGCCCAGACAAGACAAGCCTACAAGACCCGTACTTTTACAAACAAAAAATGTTAGACTCTAACCCACTACACCGCGGTGCGATTTAAGATTGGCCCTCGACCCATAATCTTGTGACACGGCAAATTATATCGTGCATCGCGGTGCATAATCGATTATGCACCGAGCTTCAAAACAACGTCGTTTTGTTTAATGAAAGAAACGGCACCCTTTTCGCGCTGTTACGCAAAAAAGTAACTCTGTTATTCAATTTCATTTTGTATACACTGCAGTGTCAGTTCAACACAACTACAGTTTCATTTCGATATAACTACAGTTTCATTCGATATTTATACACTCAAATATGTGAAAATGTTATTTAATTTTATTTTATATACACTATAGTTTCATTAAAACACAACTACATGATCATTTCAATATAACTACAGCTTCATTGCACAATATACACTTAGATATGTGAAATGTTATTCAGTTTCATTTTATATACACTGCAGTTTCATTTCAACACAACTACAGTATCATTTTGATATAACTACAGCTTCATTGCACAATATACACTTAGATATGTGAAATGTTATTCAGTTTCATTTTATATACACTGCAGTTTCATTTCAACACAACTACAGTATCATTTTGATATAACTACAGTTTTGCTGGGTAATAACACTCAAATATGTGAAATTGTTATTCAATTTCATTTTATATCCACTGCAGTTTCGTTTCGACACAACTACAGTTTCATTTCATTTCAATTGCAGTTTCACTTGATAATATAAAAATAATACGTGAGGCAGTGTCAGTTTAAACACACTGTAGTTTCAGTTGGTAACTAATACACAAAAAATATACACTCCGTTAACTATAATAATGCGTTGCTTCTTTATTTAAAAAAACGACGCCGTTTTTTGCCGTTGTGCACGTGCACCGTGGTCCACAATATAACCACCGCATGTGACACCCGTAGCTATAATCTGTATGACTTCAAAAGTTCTTTCTACATCAGAGATGCTTTCTTCTAGAAAACCTAGTATTCCTAGTAATGTCTGGAAACCACGAAAGCAAACATAATTGCACATTCCGACATAAAAAAAGGCAAAGAGAAACCCAAAGTGGATAACTTCTTAATTGACCTATAGCTAGAACATATCATATTTACACTTAGCTCAAACACACCATAATTTGGCAATTCTTCTGTGTGGATCCAAGACCATCGTCCCACATTATATTACGTACTATCATTTATCTCTGAATTTTAGAACGCCTACAATTGAGCTAATTCACAGCCTCTACAAGGTCTCAACTTCTCTGAATTCCATCACAATAAGACAAAAATATTCGGCACTTCAATAGTTAAATCTAAAAAGACAACAATATAGTTTTGCCTAATCCAGTTATTTTACTTCCAATAAGCCAGAATTCTTTATATAATATATTTGATTAATTATCGAATCGAACCTACTCTGATTCGTATTTGGATTCAAAACAATTTAAATTGAAATATGTATTTGAATTTGGATTTATATTTGAATTCAAATCAAGAATCAAATTTAAAATATTTGATTTGTTACCTCCTTAGTGTCTTAAGTTATTCATAGTCGATCTACTTAAATAAAAAATAAAAATAAAAAACAGATAAACTCTCACAAAAGTGTCAAACTTAAAACATTATTATTAGTTAGGGGATAGGTTAGGGTTGCCCCTAATAGAGTATTCTTAGAAGTTAGAAAGAATTTAATGGATAAAGATGGTGTAAATAAATATTACCGAGTATAAGTTCATTAATAATTTGAAATAAGAGTTTTGTGTATACATTAAATGTAAATGTATTTCCTAGTAAAAACAAAAATGTAAATGTAAATATATGCACTCCTTCCATCCCATTTTATGTGTCTGGTTCGGTTAATAAGGTTTTATTGGAGTTATTTCAGTTTTTCATAATATATTAAGCTTAGTATTAGTATACAAAATTAATATATTTTGAAACTACACTAAAAGTACTACTCTCTCCGTCCCATTTTACATGTCTTACTTTACTTTTTAGTTTATCCTAAAATAGTGTTATCTTTCTAAAATTGAACATAACTATCACTCTACATTTTTCAATTTACTCTTTTGACTTTTCAAGTTTGGTAAGTACAATTGTACTTTGTACAAATAACACATACTTTTGAGAGGAAAAATTAGTAAGTTAGTAATATTTGTTATATTGTATTAAAAACCGTGTAAAAAACAAATGAGACAATCAATTAGGGACGGAGGGAGCTGAGTATTAAACATAAAAAATTAAATTTAAAAATAAGTAAAGAATACTAAAAAAAATAAACAAAAAATTTGTTTGACTAATGAATAGTAAGTAAGACAGATCCCAAATGTGAGGTTACAGGTTCGAACCCGAGTGGGGTACAGTGACTCTCTATGCTTCAATAGATTGAAAAAGTATGTATGGACAGACATTATATTGTAACAAAATTTCTATACTAAAAAAAAAAAACAAAATAAGACACATAAAATAAGATCCGATCCCAACATAATGTGATATGGTGGTAGAATTGAAGTTTGAATGAAGAGATCATTATTCATGTTGGGGAAACCAGTGGAGTTGTTGCGGAGAGGTATAAGTCCGAGAAGTTGGTTCAGTCCAACAACAGTTGAGTTGCTCCCTCGTCTCATACAAATCTTTCTGACAAAACTTATTCCCGAAAGTCCTGTACGTCTTCGTGGCCAAGCAGTAGAACACAGTGTAATCCCCAGACAATCTGGGAAAGTAAATCTTGTTCTCCATTCCATCCACCATTTTCTTCCTGGCAAAAGAAGTGGGCAAGCTTATAAACACCATAAAATCCCCCAAACTCTCCACTTTCATCCACTCCATTCTCTCCTCATCCAACCTCACAACACTAATTTTCTCCCCCATGAACGATAAGAACACCGCCAATAGCTCTCCCTCGCACTCCACCAGGTAGCTCTCGAATGTCTCCTCCTCCGGCGGCGAACCCAGCACCTCGTGAATGGTCCATTTCTTGCTTTCCTCATCATCTGGGTCGAACTCGAACACTCCCATCTCGCCATGTCTGCCCAAGCAGTAAAGCTTTTGGTTATGGAAAACCGGGTGGCAATTGGATTGGAAGATGGTGGGAATATCCTCAAAGGAATGACGAACCCACTCGGCTTCTCCGCGGCGGATGGTTTCGAAACGAACGAAAGTATCAGTGAAAGACACAACGCCAAAAACCTTGCAGTCTGGGGAGGTTGGGTCTGAGACGAAGGTTGCACTTTTCCAGTCCCCGAGAAAATCCGCTTCCGGCAGGTCCACCCGCTCCTTAGTGAAGGGGTTTATGAAGAACAGACTGTTTTGCCAATCCCAGAATAAATCTATTTTGGGGTTGTTTCGTAGCGATCGGCGAGCAATTAGGAGCCAGCCATTGTTGGAGTGCATGAGGACAGCTTTGTTTAGGTCAGGGACGTCGTCTATGGCGAACCTGTCGGGGTAGAAGGGGTGGAAGAATTTGCAGACGGTGCCGTGGTAAGTGTCCTTGTGGAGAAGCCATTGGGATTGAAGGGTGGGGAAGATGAGAGGGGAGTGGTGTTTAGGGTCCTGAATTGAGTCCCAGTATTTGCATACTTTGTGGAAGGAGAATCTGGTTTGGGGAAGCTGCAAATGTGTTAACATCTCGCTTAAAAGCTCGATTGGGAGACCCGCCCAATCCCTTTTATTGCCTTCATCTTCTTCTTTTGGATCCTCTTCTTCCACTTTTCCTATTTCTTTCTCTTCAAATCTGTGCTCCCAGTCATCCTCATCACTTGAATACTCTTCCATCTGTCCATACCACCACAATGAAATATAGAGTCATGAGTGTTTTTTTTTTCTTTAGTGTCAAGGAAACGGACTTAGCGTATTTATAATAGTGGATTTTAAGTAGTTTTTGCATGCCTAAAAACTTAAAGATGAGTTTTCAACACACGGAGAGGGATTTGGGGATGGACTAGTGAATAATAGGAGTTCGACCCCTGATGATTAACTTGTAAGATTAAGTGGTGCAAGTTGACTGGGTTATTAAGTAGTTTGGTTGGATTGAATAACTAGGAGTTGTTAGTCAATAAACCTGGATTGATAGGATACAGGACTATTGATTAGATTAGATAGCACATTCAGTTACGGTATACTCATATTGCTCTGAGGCAAATAGTGGCCAACTGTCTACCGTTAGGAGGCAACACAACAAAAACAGATAAGCTACGCTTCAGCTCTTATATGAGGTCAGATTTCTCGTATACTATTGTTCAGTATAATTAGATTATTTATATTATCTAACACAACTAATTGATCGAGTACACCTATCCCAATCCATGATTGTCATTACTAGGAGCTGAAGTTAGAATCTTATGATTACTAAATCAAAATTAGTCTTATAATTGTATATTTATTTTACAAAATAGATGAGTCTTATGATCATGGATGAATCAGAAGTTAAAGAATAAGTTGAAAATAATAGTTAAGGAATTAAATGAGGACCACAATACTAATAAAAAAAAACTTTAGCATTCAAATCAACAAGAAAACGATTGTTACCTATATATGTTGTGATGGACGATGTATGGCTTGTACGTGCTTTGTTGCTATTTGGAGAGATTGATTTTTCCAAACTTTCATATCTATTTGAAGAAATTGATGATGAGAGCACTGGTAGGACGGATGAATGGGACAAGAATATATATGTATATATAGATATGAAACTTTCCCAATCCCATGCCAATTAGAAATTAATAATATAGTTAAGGGAAAATGACACTTTTCCCCCCTGAGTTATATAATTATAGCATTTTTTCCCCCTAAATTATTGAAGTGACTGTTTTTCTCCCTGAAATATTAAATGGACATATTTATCCTTAAACTAAATATTTAATTTATTTTTTTCTCCAACAAATTATGACCATAATTTGGTTCAAACTAAACAAACACTATAGCAACCAAACCGAAATATTCCAATTACAATTTAGAATCGAAATTCAATATTTAGAGTTTATTAAAATAGTGAACCGGAATGGACGGTTCATGTTCCAAGCTGAAAAAATAAAATACATTTATTGTTAAATTTAGACTATTTTAAAATAAAAAATAAAATTTTAAAATAAAGACGGTTCAAAATCGCGAACCAGATCTGGAACCGCCGGTTCACGGTTCAAGATTCAATTTTTTTGATACATAATTTTAATAAATTGACATTTAAATATTGGGTTCTAGATCTGAATTATAACCGTAAACTATTAATTCGATTGCTTTAGTATCCGGTTCAATTCAAACCGAGCCGTGGTCATCCTTACGTATACGCAATAATTTGTTGGAGTAGTAAAATAAATAAAATGTTTATTTTAAGGGTATAAATGTCAATTTAATATTTTAGGGGGAAAAAACACCACTTTTAGAATAAATGAGGGGGCTAATGTGCTTACCTAAATAATTGAGGGGGAAAAAGTGCTATAAGTATATAACTCAGGGGTAAAAAGTGCCATTTTCCCTATAGTTAAATTTCGAATCCCAGATGAATTAGGAACTGGTTATATATTTAGTTTAAAATTAAATATGTAAGGAAACTATAACCAATTTAGAATTATAAGAATTTTATTTTCGGAAAACTTTTATCTTTTAGAAATTTTTATCAACAATTAATGTTAACATTAAATAGAAGTATTAAAAAGAATTAATTAAGTGTAAAGTTGTAAACGATGATGTTGACTGTTGAGGTATACATCAGCCAGGTATTGCACATTTGCACCTGCACAAACACTAATTTTGCAGGGGCCGGGAAAATAGCAATTTTTTCTTCTGAGTTGTATACTTTCACCTTTTTTTCTTGAATTACTCAATTGACAATTTTTTTTCTTGAAATGTTAAATGGACATATTTATCCTTAAAATAAATATTTCATATATTTTTCTTCTTCAATTAATTATGACCACGATTTGATTCAAACGGAATAGAGTCACAAACACTATAGCAACCAAACCGAAATACTCGAATTACAATTTAGAATCGAAACTCGATATTTAGAGTTTATTAAAATCGCGAACCAGAACGGCCGATTCATGTTCTGAACTGAAAAAATAAAATACATTTATTGTTGAATTTAGACTATTTTAAAAATAAAAAATAAAATTTAAAATAAAGTTTGAACTGGCAGTTCAGACTTCAAATTGAATCCGGAACCGTGAACTAGAGGTTCAAACTCAAAATCAAATCACGGTCATATATAATTATATGTTAGAATTAGAATAAATGTAAAAAAAGAACATACACTATTTGTAAATATTATAATGAGAAAATTTTAATTTTGGTCCTGTTACTATAGAGGTATTGTTAATTTCAGTCCACGATTTTCAAAAGTGTTAATTTAGTACCTTAACTATGCAAATTTTTATCAATTTTGATCACTCCGACCAAATCGTCGACCAAATTTCGCTGAAAAAGTTTAACTATCCAATTACTACCTTTCTCCCCTCACTCCTCCCCTCTCTCACCTGGATCCACCTTTCTCCTTCACTCCCTCCCCTCTCTCACCTGGATCTGGGGGGAACAGAAACACAAACCACACAGTCTTTTTACTACCTTTCTCACTCGAGCAATTTCAGTCATTTCAACTTAAGAAAGACACAAACCACCAGCTAACACCATTATTTTGGTTAGGCCACGGATCGGCAAAGGCAACAGCTTGTGCCTCCGGTGGCTAGTTCTTCTCCGACGGAGCAGCAAAATCGGTGACCTTGAGCAGCGAAGCTTCGACAACCTCCAGCAGCGACGATGTGAGCAGCGAGTCAGCGCAACACTCCAGCAACTGGGTGTCCCCTTCTTCTTTTTTTTTTTTTCCGACAGCGACTAGGTTTCTTGTTGTTTTTGGCATCGACCTCTTCTCCCGCCAGTGGCTATGACGTGAAGGATGATATTACTAATGGTGAAGCTTGGATGAGGATGGCGAGAACCTTTTTTTTTTTTTTTTTTTTTTTCGGCAGCCCTAGCGTGAATGATGATGGCATCGGCATCTTCCCCCATCGACGGTCTTTGTTGGTGATAATGAACAAAAGTCGATTTAATATCTCAAAATAGTATTTATATATACACACGAAAATATATAAAATAATATTCGATATATATCCGAAATATATATATATATATATATATATATATATATATATATATATATATATATATATATATATATATATATATATATATACACAAATATATATAAAACGGACCCAAAGGTTATATATACATTTATATCTACGAAAAAGATATACCAATATATATCAACCAAAAATTGGAACTTATAATCCTCAGATTATAATCCCAATCCAATGACTATATCAAATAAAGAGAGAGGATTTTTGCTTAGAGCATAATCCAACATGAAAGAATGAGAAGAAAGGAGGAAGAAAGAAGGTAAGTATGAGTCAGGCGAAGTGCCTTTTTCCTTAAAACCTTATTTGTCACCTCCCAAAAGTGTTATGAGCATTGTGGCCTAGGCTTCCTAAGATAAAACGTACTACGGTTCGACGTTTGAGCACCCAAACGAACGAACCCGGCGAACTAGAGCACGGGCAGAACACAGCTTCAAGAATGGAGTAGGAGCAGAGTTTTGAGAGAGTAAAACTATGTGTGTGTTATGTCTCTTTGTCCGTAGTTCTTCACTACTTCACTGTCTTGTACAAAAATCTGCTGCTCCCACTTCACTCTTATATAGGAGGTTTGAAGGTAAATAGCATTTGTTATGGCCATTAAACCTGACCTTTGTAACACCTGAAACAGCCACCATTATGTGAGGTCTAATTCAAAATTTAAAATTGGAATTAATACAAAATTAATTCCGTAACGGATGAATTGAATCTCCAACAGTCCAGAACCAACGAATGGTTCACGCTGTTTCAGCTCGGTTACTTTCGTCCAAGGCAACTTTCGACCTTGGACCATGGTCACTTTCGGCCAAGGCCAACTTTCGACCTCCCAAGGTCGAACTTTCAACCAGTGGCTTTGCGTTGGAAAAAAGATATAGCCGGCGCACACGAGCTTAAGCCTTTTCGATCTCAGTTTGGGATTTGATTTGCACCCCCGGCGCGCGATAGAGAGCCTCTATGCTATACATTCGAAAAGCCTTTATAAGACTCATATATAAATAGTGGGGCAAATCCTCTTCCCAAACCAATGTGGGACAAAAGCTCACTTTTTCCCTTCATTTTTCCAACTCAATGGATCTACTTTGAAAATCAATATCTCATTCACTCATTATCCGTTTTGAACATACAATATATCAATCTCTTCGTCTCACTACGAAAAACCCGAATCAACTTTGACCCAGCCCCAATTGAAAGTGAATCCCACTGATAATTGTACCAGAAAATAGTCACTTAAAATATCATTTTAATGCTATTTTTCCAACAGCCTTGACGTGAACAAGCTCGGAACCCTCGTGTGAAGATGGATGAAGATGATGTTGATTGTTTTTTACTGAAACCCCTGTGTCGGAACAATCAACATCATCTTCATCCCATCCCATCAATCTTCGATCTTCTACAGGAACCCCTGTGCTGGAACCATATTAGTCGGATGTTTTTTACGTAAGATGGATGAGGATGACGAGATCGAAGATGGATGAAGATGATGTTGATTAATTGGTAAGAAAAAAACAATTTTGCCCCTAACATTAAAGAGTAATTGGATAGTTAAATTTTTTTGGCGAAATTTGGTCGGAGTGACAAAAATTGATATAAATTGCATAATTAAGGTACTAAATTAACAATCAGGACTATGTGGTCTAATGGTATTTG